ATCCATGTGGCAAGGAGTCGTTCAGGGCCAGTCAGCCTGGGAGGTACAGGCACCCTCTGCCTGTGTGTTATGGAGGTACCTGCCACAGCAGCTGCTGACATCTAGAGGCTCCTCACCTGAGCTTCCTGAGCAGTGACAGGCACCTCCTCTGAAAGGAAATGTACCTGGAAACCCAAGCTGGAAGAGTCTGCCAGCCTCACTTTTTGCCTGGGACTCCAAACCTGGTGACTCTGGTGTCACTCTGAGCCCTTTCTCCAGGACTAAGAGCCTCCAACATATAAGGCAAGGTTCTGGCCCTGGCTGGGACCAGACTCCCAGGAAAGAAGAGCCATCTCTTCTAGAAAGTGGGCCATCAGGAAAGCAAGTGAGAGAGGACTCAGTGGACTCTTCTGTGCCTCTCAGAACCCAGAGCCCAAGTAGAAAAGGGGCCTAAATGCCGACAAGGATTCTTTCTCACAGGTGGGAGACAGGAGGGTCTGGTTGCATTTGCTGAGAAGCCAAATCTCAGCATGACACATTTGCCCACCGAATTCACCTGTCTCAGGCTTGCATGTTCTAGCTCTTTACCTGCCAGGTATTCCACACAGTATTTTAATTTTCCCAACAAACTTACCAGGCAGTGATATCACAGGCAGATGAGGAGCAGGACACTCAGGGGGATTAACATATGAGTATGTTCACAGAGGCAGCCACAGACGGGGCAGCCAGCTCCAGCCTAGGCTCCAAGCTTCTGAATCAAGGCTGTTCACAGGGGCGGGCTCTGCCTGCATTTGAGCCCCCAGGGCCTGGAATGTGTTAGAAATGCAGGAAGGGTTTCAGGGGCATCTGTTTGGCACTCCAGATGCCTGGCAGGGAAACCAGAGGCTGGCTGTGTTAAAATAGGCTGAGGGGTAAGCATGAAGCTCAATGATAAAGCACTTGCCTAGCATGTGTGAGGCCCTGGGTTCAATCCCCAGCACCGAAAAATAAATAGAAACAAAAAAGGGCATAGTATTTGTATATAATGTTTGTACATCCTCCTGTACATACTTACATGGCTTATAATGTCCAATATGATGTAAACTGCTGTTCTACTGCATTGTTTAGGCAATAATGACAAGAAAAAGAGTCTGTACATATCCAGTACAGATGCAATTAAAAAAAAATATTTTCAATCAACAGTTGGTTGAATCCTGGATGCATGGCCCATGGATATGGAGGGCCAACAATATTCTTCTTTTTTGTTTGAAGAGCCTGAGAGTGAGAGAAGTGAAGTAATATACTTAAGATCACACAGCAATTTTTAAGAGCTGGGAATTGAAGTTCAGAACTGGTTGGCCTCAATGATTTTTGTTTAAGTTCAGCACACCTGCAGGTGGCTTCCAGGAAGAGGAGAGAAAAGTAAATACAAAGAGCAGTGAGGGTTAATTCTAATGCCTTGTCCACTTCCCTCCAAGGCACCATCGCCAGTTTCCCTGCCAACTGTCCTAAAACAAAATCGTTTTGGCTGTCCAGGTTTCCTCTGTAAATTGGAGTAGCATCTGGTCTTCGTGGAGAGCCAGGCGTTCCCGGAGCCCATAAGTGAGGGTATGGATGACTCCTGGTTAGAGCCTCCAGCTGGCACCTGCTCCCCTGGGACACTGTCTGTGGGCAGAGTCTGATGTATAGACCAGTTATTCATCTATGCAAATTAGGAGACCCAGAAAAAAATGGTCCAGAGCAGAATCCTGAGCCTGGACCCTTGTTTTAGTTTCCTAAAGACGCTGTTTCCATCTGAAAGTCCTGCTTGATCTCCAGCACTGAGGCCTCTAGAGCTGGTGGGCAAGCCAGGGCAATGTGGATTGGAGTAGGTGGGGCCTTTGTTTTTTAACACTTCATAATGCCTTCTCCAGAATTCCCAAATCCAAACAGTGCTGGACACGAAAAGTTTCTTCATAAATTTGGCATCAAAACTCATTTGGCGGCAAAAATCAGACTAGATCTTATGCAATTTATACAACTAAGTTTATGTTTATGTTTTGCTGCAGGGATCAGAACTGATGGGAGTGATTATAAGGTGCTGCTGGTGCAGAGTGATATGTACCACGTGGTATATACATCACATATGTATTCCAAAATCCCAAACATCCTCTGGCCCCAGGGGTTCCAGTTAAAGAGTTGCGGGCCTTGTTGCTTTGTAATGCACTCTACTCAAGCAGGACAGGTCATCTGATCAGGCAGCAAACAACTTGATTATAAAGACTTCCCACTCCTCTGCAGTCAGATCAGGTGATTGGAATTCTATCAGCATGGGGTCCATTCTTGGAGGTTTTCTCTAAGAGGTGAATGAAACCGGAGTCACTTATATGGATTGTTATATATATTAGCCTGTTTTGATTTTGCCTCTCCGGGAGAAGGCAGCTTGAAGCAAGTGGGTACTTGTGGAGGGCGACCCAGTGCTAATGGGATATGGAGATGGGACAGGTCAGAAGCCCCACATAAATCGCCGGCCCTGGGTAGGGCAGACACCCTGCAGAACAGCAGGCAGCCTTGAGGAGAGATCTAAACGCAGCCTGGAGCCAGGCCTAGATGAAGGCCAGTTTAGTTGCCTTCATGACTCACAGCTCTGCACTCTGGTGCTAGGAGAATAGCCATCTAGAGGACTTCAAACTGCATAAACCTTTTCCTTGGCAAGGGGACACACACCCAAAGCTGACAAGGTCCAGACCAGGAGGAGGCTTTGCAGCTGTGCTTCCCAGCTCTCCAGTTATGAGCAGGAACTGCAAGTGCCAAACGGTGATGGCAAAGATGCATGTTGGAAGGCGCTGCCGCTCCGTGGGGGACCGGCGATGGCTTTCTGGTTGGTGTCGGGGTGGAGAGGCCCAGGGCATCTGAGGCCGTGTCTCTCCCATTTTTAGATGCTCTCGGTTATTTACAAAGGAAAAGCTGTCAAAACAGGGTTACACACGCTTGGGTCCACTGAAAGGCGAGTGCCCACGTAGCGGTCTTGCGAGCAGACACAGAGCGTCGGAGCGGCCGCGGGTGTTTGGGGGCTGCCTGGGCGCCCCCTGCCGGGTGTGGCCAGCCTAGCTCCACCGCAGACTCGGGACTGCCGGCGAGGCGCCCGGCGCTCACCGCGCCATCTGGCGGCGGCGGCGCGAAGCGCTGGAGTGCGCGGACCGGGAGCCCTGCGGGCCCCCAGCCGAACTCCCCGCGGCCCCGACAGCAAAGGGTTAAGCTGTCAGCAGCGCGATGTTAAACAGGTGTCAAAGGCGCCCCATATATCTGCAGATTGAAATCAAATTCTTTGCCGTATAAAAAGATAAATTACCCAGGCGCTGCCGCGCGTCCCACTCATCACGCCAGCGCCAGACGGCAAGCAATTTTTTTTTTTAATGTGCTAACGACCTAATCAAGCAATCAAGTCGGAGAAGATTGCAGAGTGACCGGGGCAGCCATCTGCCGGCGAGCCCCGCATTCATTTCCGCGCCCCCGCGCGGGGCGGGGGCCGGGGAGAGAGCTGCTGGGGGGAAGGGGGGAAAAATCCTAAACAAATTAACACCCAATTTTCCCCGTCTAATTAGTTAAATGAGAAGTGTTTGGGGTCCCCCGGGGAGGGGGAGCGGCTCGCGGCGAGGCGAGCGCTGCCTCCCCAGCATTAATTAGTGCGGGTCAATGCCGCGGCTCCCGGGAGAGCAGCCGCTTTAATTTCCCGTGATATTTCAGTGCCTGAGGCCCATCGATTCAAACTGAAATTAACTTATTTTTCAATCAGCCCAGGGCTGCCCCTGGGGGTGACTCTTCTTTTGCCGCCTCCTGAATAGAGCTGGAGCAATTTTTCATCAAAAGCTGATACCTTGGCCGCTTAGGGCGGGGGAGGGGCCCGAGGGAAGGCGGGGAGTGGGGGCGCCCAGGCGAGGGAATGGAAATCGCCGAGAAAACCAATGGATTTTCCGAAGCTCATCACTTTCCCCCACCCGCCCCATTCCCCTGGGGTGCTTCAGCATCTTGCCGCCCCAGGGGTCAGGGCCCCAAAGACAAGAGAAACGCCTGGGGTCCTTCCAGGCCCACCAGTTTCCTGAGCGCTTCTTCCTGCCTTGAGGCACTAGGCAGGGGAAAGTCTCAGGAAAGGGGCTTTGGGAAGCCAAGAAATCCTCCCTCTCCAAACTGGACAGGGCTTCTGGAATCTCCTCCAAGAACCAGCACATGCCTACAAGGTACCCCAGTCTCATTTAGACCCTGCACCAATCAGCTTAGGGGCCAGGGAAACATTCCCCAGGGTGGGCCTACACACTCTCCTATGTTCCTACTCACCTCTGCCCCTCACACCCTGGAGAATGTTGTATCTATTCCTTGACAGACGGATGGCACCCAGTTCCCCAAAATTCCATTCACATTAGGCCCAGAACTGTGGGCTCAAGAATATGCAAGGCAAAAAAACAGCATGGCAGGGCTCAGCTGGGACAGGGCAGAGAAGGGATCCTGACCCAGGAAGAGTCCCCTCCCTGCCTTGGGTTTCCTTGACACCTGGATGAAATGCCCCCAAGATCATCTGCTGCCATTTCTGCAGCCTTCCTGGACTCCTCTGGGCCTCTGGGCCTCTTGGCCTCCGTGGAGAATAAGACACAGTACCTGTCCAGGGACTATGGGAATTTGTCCTTCTGCAAGTCAGAAAGAGATTCTGTTTATACACTGGAGGTGTGACATTAGCAAGAGACCTATCATGTCTTGGTTTGTCAGCAGCAAACCAAGGAACACACTGAGTGTTGTTCACCTGCAAGGGACTGTCCAGTAGGCATCCGTAGCCCATCTCCCTAGAACTCCTTTGACTAAAAACAAAGCGTTTTTTTTTTTTTTAAAGTCATATTCTCACAGGACTTGATATCCTCCTTCTGACACCTCCAAGCCTGGAGGAACCTCAGGGACAGCATGGGGTGGAAGAGCTGGGGCAAGGACACCTTGCTGAGGAAATCTGTACTGAGCAGGCAGGGGTAAGGACCATCTTAAAGCACGGCCCCTGAGCCACTCCTCTGAACTTGCAGGTCTGGTTCCAGAACCGCAGAGCCAAGTGGAGGAAGCGAGAGAAGTGCTGGGGACGGAGCAGTGTTATGGCAGAGTATGGGCTCTACGGGGCCATGGTGCGACACTCCATCCCCCTGCCCGAGTCCATCCTCAAGTCTGCCAAGGATGGCATCATGGACTCCTGTGCCCCGTGGCTACTGGGTAAGAGCCCGCACCTTCCTTGGGGCCCTGCCCCTGAGGTGAGGAGAGCGGGCTCCCTGGAGGACTACCGTGGGGACTACCTTGGGGACTTAGGCAGGCAGGGCCTGGGTGTGGTGTCTCTTCCTTGCACCAATTTACTGAGTGCCAGGGACTCTCATCCTGCACTGGTCCCTGACTGGATTCTTTTATCCTGTAAGGAGGGTGTGGCTGTTACCCCAGGGTCTGTATTCCCCCTTCCCCTTGACCAGAGATGGGCTTATGACAAATCAAACAGCCCCCTGGGAGTTGAGGGGACCCTTAGGTCCCTTTGGCCACTTCTCTGGCATTGCCCCAAAGTAATTCTTTTCTCCCAAATCTTTCCACCTGCCCTCTTCCCCCCACTTGCCATCTAGTCCTGAGTCTGATAAGAGCATCAGATTATCTTGGGGTTCTAAGACCTGGATTCCCAGGATGGAGGGGTGGGGAGTCGAGCTGTGCCCTGAAGGGACAGAACAGGCCCTGGGGGGCCAGGTGCCCAGGGTTTGTTGAGAGGCCCTCTGTAGGCCTGGTTCCCCGCTGTTGGCCTGCAACTCTCCACCCCCCCACCCCCCCCCCCCCCCGCTCCTCCTGTCCCCTGACCCTGGCCCAGCCCTGGGACTTGCGTGACTGGCGTGTGTGAAGCAAGGCTTTCTACTTGTCCTTAATTCTGGCCTCTCTCTATCTTTGCTGTTTTCAGTTCAAGATGGCTTTCCCAGGCGCTTTTCTAAACCCGAATACCAACAATTCTTTTTAGGGATGCACAAAAAGTCACTGGAGGCAGCCGCCGAGTCGGGGAGGAAGCCAGAGGTGGAACGCCAGGCCCTGCCCAAGCTTGACAAGATGGAGCAGGAAGAGCGGGGCCCCGACGCCCAGGCAGCCATCTCCCAGGAGGAACTGAGGGAGAACAGCATCGCAGCGCTCCGAGCCAAAGCTCAGGAGCACAGCACCAAAGTGCTGGGGACTGTGACTGGGCCAGACAGCCTGGCCCGGAATGCAGAGAAGGCAGAGGAGGAAGAGGCCGTGGAAGAAGACAGGCCAGCCGAGAAGCTGAGTCCATCACAACTTGAGGACATGGCTTAGGTCAAGGGGCGCTCAGGCACCCAAGACTGTGTTCCTCTTGGCCCCTGTGGTGCGGGGAGGTTCTCTGCCACCCTCACCTGCCCCACAGGCCCTCGATTACCCCCATTGACTCCAGGCACAGGTCATTTCTGGCCTCAGCTTTGGACCCTGCTGAGACCTCCTGATGTAGTCCTGACTCTCCAGCACCCTCCTCATCCCAACATCCCTGCCTCAGAAGCCCACTTGCTGCCCCGGCCATCCCCTCAAGCCCCTTTCTCTCAATCTCTTGGCAACTCTTGCTGTCCAAATCCACCCCTTGCTCTGTTCTCTGGCTCTGCAGGGCCCCCTTCCCAGCTCCTCACCTCTTTGGATTCTGCTCGGCACATGCCTAAAGTCCATCGCTGCCAACGCATAGCCTGCCAGACAGCCGTGACATGGATTGAGTATCTCTGCATTTCAGCTCCAATGTCCTGAGCACCCCAATCCTCAGCAAATCTTCCCTCAGCCTGTTCCTTCTGGGGGACCTGGGCCTGGGTTTCTGCTGCGTAGAAAATATACTGCCCCGCAGGCCCACGCACACTACCTCTACATCCTCCATCCTTCCCTCCAATGCTACCCACCTTCCAGACTGAACTTGGGAAGTCTCAGCCTGAGCCTTTGAGCCACCCTCAGGAACCCGCCTTCTCCATGCCCAACCTGCCCCATGGGTTCCTCCTCATCACAGGTGCCAACAGCACATGTGCCCATGTATAAGACCTTTACTGGGTCCAGGTCCTATGCCCTGCAGGGAGGAGGCCCGTCTCATAAATATTGTGGCTCACTGCATTATTGGGGAGCCCAGGTCCCCTACCAGAGTCCTTGGACCCTGTACCTGTATTTCTGAAGCATTCCAACTTTCCCCATATACTGCCATGACCTTGACCTGCTGTGCAAAGCATCCTTTGCCTAGGGCTTCTAGCAAACTACTCCAAGCATTGCCTGCTTGGAGAAAAGCAGTGCAGCTAGGAAACCACAGATCTGGCCTCAACTTGACCCAGGCCATCCCTAAGCCTGGAATGGCACTGAGCCATAAATATGCATCATGGATGGGTCGCAAGAAAGGAAGGGGAAAAGGTTCAAAGGAAAGAAAAACAGGAGCCAGTGTTAAGCCAGATAAAGCTGCAAGCCCTCATACCATGCCAGGTGTATGCTGGGAAGTATGTCAACTAGAATAAGACAGACCCAGGAGCCATGTTGAAATAAGGGACTAGGGCTCCCTTCTGCTGAGGAGTAGGCCTATCAGTACCTATGGCCTCTCTGCAGCTGCTCCTTCCACTCTGCCCTTTCACTTTTGCATGAGCAATGGGAACACAGCTCGGTGGAGCCCACTGGACCATACTCCCAGGCCAGGCATGAGCCCTCTCACCCCATGACATTTTTTTTCTACTTCCCCACCCATCATGGCGGGGGATACTTGCAAGAGAAAGGCCTGAGACACTGAGTTGCAATTTTAATTCTCTATCGAAAGTTGATTTCTTCATCCCATTTATGGAAACACCCTTCCCCACCTCAGATCTTGTCTTTGTCCTCTGTTGGTTTGACAATGTTAGACTGTAGCCCTGGTGTGTAAATAATGTACATAGAGTGAGAAGAAAATCTTGATATTGAGCTGTTTGAAATATGGAACTGTAATAACCTCTAGGTATTCTAAACCTGTGCTTTTGTGCCATTTTCTGTAAAGATACAAGTAAGAATAAAATTGATGTAAAAACAGCCGAGGAGGGACCCAGAAGTCCTCTGTGGGTGGGGAATGGTGTGTGCCTATGTGTATAGGTGGCATCAAAGTTAATCTACAGAGTGATTTTTTAGGTCAAAACTAGGTTCCTCTTTTAAAATTACTTGAAATGTCAAGAAGCAAGTGGCCTGCTTCTCTTGGTTGAGCTGATACAACCCTTCAATGACATTTATCACTGTGATATGGAACCCTCCTCCAGGCAGGCCCAACTTAAATATCCCAGTCATGGAGCCCCTAAGGTATTACCTATCAGCGACTCCCCACAAAGTAGATTCCATTTAACCTTTTTCTCTGCTACTTACCTGGAATCAACCCTATTTCCTTTGCACCACTAGTGAAGCCCACAGTCCACCTGGGCCCCCAAGAATGCAGACTTCTTTCTTTTTATCGTATACCTGTGCACTCGCAGATCTTACCTTCCACCTAAATAACAACAACCAAAAAAGGTAAGTGGATCTGGAACTGAAAGTCAGACAGATTATGCTAAATCCCTGTCAAAGAGAAGGAGAGTAAAAGAAAAACCCACACAGGAAGGGCCAGCAAGAAATTGCCTGCAGACAGCTGTGACCTGCCAACTTGATGGTGTGTTGGATGGAATTACAAGAGGAGAGAGAGAGAGCTCTGAGCAGACTGGAGAGGCTGTATTTGAGCTTTGGGCTCAAAAAAAAAAAAAAAAATCTCATAAGATTGTTTCAAATTGGCTCAGATGTGGAACTTCCTTGCAGTAGAGGTTTCTGGCAACCCACCCACAAAAGAGAATGACAGGAGGTGGGCAGTCCTTGTACCCCAAATGGGACCCACGTGTGGTACTCCCCAACTCGGAGCCTGAGGGGGCACCTGTGGGAACTCTGGCAGCTGGGTGATAAAGGGACAAGACTTCAAGTCCTGCCTGCCTTGGGCGGTGTCCAGGTTTTCCCTGAGCATCGGGGCCTAGGAATGCCCTTACCTAACCTGCCCACCCCAACCCTCCAGAAACAAACTGCCACTTCTCATTCAGTCTCTTTCTCCCCAAAGCAACCTCACCCTGTCAAAAGGGTTTATTGCCTCTGTTCTCTCATGGTATTTGGGACATTGCTCCATCAGGAATTTTCCATGTTATATTCCCCACAAGACTGACTTCTTCAAGGGAGGGGACTCTACCTTATTTGTCTTTTAACCCTAGGACCCATCAAAGGGCCTGCTACTCAAGCTACTCTTGAATGAATGAACATTCTTTCTATACCTTATGCAATTACTCAATAATTTAACAAAATTTATCGAGCAATTAATATATATCAGGCAGTAGAGTAGGGCACTGGGGTTACAGGGGGGGCAAAGCAGTCCTAAGTCCCTGTTCTTACAGAATTTACAGTCTGGATGGAGGAACAGAATCCCAATAATCACACAAAGAAAATAGAAAATTGCAAATGTTCTAAGGCCTTGGAGGCATGGTATAAAGGATCGTGAAAGTGTATAACAGGGTGAACTGACCATCCATAGGACTTGGGTCAAGGTGTTTAACCTCTGAGCCTCTCCTGCCTCCCTACGGAAGAATAAACATCTGTCCTTGTAGCATTGGGAGGAAGGAGCCAGGACATTGGGAAAGGTACCACAGGAGCACAAAGAAGGATGGCCATGCCAGGGCATGCTCCTTAGGTCCTTGACAGCTGTTCCATCCTCAGATAGACCTAGGGGACAACAAGGACACACATAGGTTTGTGAGATGCCAGAAATCTTTGTGGCTATTCACTCCAGGGGATTTACCCTGGGAAGCGGCAGGCAGCTGTCTGCAGAGGGAGATGTAAAGAGGCCTGCAGATAATCAATGAGGGGAGGCTGGGAAGCCATGGCCAAGGGGAAGCTGGACAGAAACAAAGAGAAATCCTGCTCCAGTGCTGAGGGTACCCAGGAGTGGACTCTCCTCCCTGGGAACCCAATTGTAGTTCCTGGGAGATTGCATTCCAAGCTGCAGGTCCACCAGCCTGCTGACAGGGGGCGACCTGCACCAGGAAATGCAAGAGAGCCTGGAAAGGGCAGGCAGGACTGATGGACCAGGACTGCCTCCTAGCAGCTGCAGAGGCCTGGCAAGAATAGGGGAGGAGGCCAACTGGGGTGAGAGTGGCACATGGGGTGGATACAGAGGGGGAGCTCCCGAGGTCCAGGCCTGTGACCTGGAGGGAGCCGCTGTGGCAGGAAAGGGGATCTGGTCTGCAGGATTGCTGGGAACTGGTCCCTGCTCCCTGCCAACCTCCCCAGCCTCTGATGGCACCTGCACCCCACAACTCACTGGAGCCTTGGAGCTTTTCTCCTGCTTCCACTGGAGCTGCAGTGCCCTCTCCACCCAGCCTCCCCTTAGGGCGCTGAGGCAGGACACCCTGGCTCATCAAATATAGCAAAGAAATCATACTAATTTGAGATGTCAATAATAGGGGAAATGGGATGAGGGGACTGTGGGAATGCTAGATTATCTTCACAATTTTTCTGTAAATATAAAATTGTAAAAATAAAATTTATTTAAAAACACAATGTGGGGGCTGGGGTTGTGGCTCAGTGGTAGAACGCTTGCCTGGCATGTGCAGGACCCTGGGGTCAATCCTCAGCACCACATAAAAATAAATAAGTGAAATAAAGGCATTGTGTCCAACTACAACCAAAAAATAAATATTTAAAAAAAACACAGTGGGATACTGTGGCACATGCCTGTAATTCCAGCGATTTAGGAGACTGAGGCAGGAGGATTGCAAATTTGAGACCAGCCTGGACAACTTAGCGAGACCCTGTCTTTAAAGAGGGGCTGGGGTAGAGTGCTGGCCTAGCATGTGTAAGGCACCGGGTTTGAATCTCAGCACCACATATAAATAAATAAAGGTCCTAATATTTAAAAAAAATAAAATAAAAAGGGCTGGAGATGTAGCTCAGTGGTAGAGTGCCCCTGGGTTCAATTTCCAGTACCACTTACAAAAATAAAACAAACAGAAAAACCTCATTAGCTGTTGGTTTTCTAGAAGGGAAAGAGCACTGGCTTCTTTGGGTTGGAACAAGGGCCAGGACTGCCCCTTTGGCTATTTCTAACCCCTGGGGCTCCACTTACCAAGCTGGTCAACCAGGTACCCTCTGGGGAACTGAATCTGGGTCAAGAGCCCGTGGCCTTCCCTGTTCTGTCTCCTGGCTCTTCCTGCTTCCTGTTTTTTTCTTTAGGCCTCCTCTGTCTTCTCTCCATGCCTGGCTGCCCCTCACCTCAGGCCACAATGGAGTCAATGAAGTCTCTGCTTAGCCACAGCTGAGCAGGCCCAGCAGGTTTTGCTCCATTAATTCCTCACTGAAGATCAATTCCT